TATTTAGGGAAACTACCATATTTGTCCTTAAACCTGTATGAAGATTTCCCATAAATGGGTGTGCCTTCCTTGGGTGAGTTCCCATAATGGGGATAAAAGGATTTTTGGTCTATATTGGGGTCCCTTCTCTTTGGGGAAACTACCTTCTTAGAACCCGTATATAGTCCCAGTATAATTCCCATATGTACACCCAGATATACCAGAATAGCTTCCATTTTCTCTTCCCCTGTTCCCTAGAAAGCCCTGGCTGGCAGGTACAGCTGATGACAGGTTGAGAGGAGGGTTTGTCTGCGAGATAAGCGTTGATGAGATTTCTTCCCACTTGGGTCTCCATAATTGTCAAAGATACTTGGCCTAGTACCCTAAACCAAAAACCCTAAAACCTTGTATATGCCGCGCGAGCCATGCAAGCAGCAAAACCTTATATGTTTGGAAAGGTTTTGGGCAGTGCAAACCAACCCAGAAGTTCGTAGCCAGATTTGAGGCATCTGTTTCAATGATGCCTTGGGCAACTTCAGCAAAGGCATCACAGAGGTTTTGGTTCTGGACTTGAGTACTCAGCAGAACCAGAACGTTTATGTCTGAAGGACATGATTTTAGGAAGCTTGCCGAAAGCTCACATTTCACCAGGCTCGAAATGCTAGGTTTTCCCTCGTGCCACATTGCTGCATATAGGCTCATCAGCCACGCATACTGCGCGCATGTAGATAAGCCATGCAGAATCTGGCGCATGTCCGGTTTAGGCTTTGATGGCATGAGCATTGACACTTCTAGATGAGTCGGGGACAACACAAGCTAGAATATGCATGACAGAGAAAGCACGCCGAAATTCAGTGCATACACCTCAGCAAGACTTGTGCTGCGTTCGGGCCGCTTTTATTCCCAGAATTTTAGTTGCCCCATCCCCTAATCTTATACCCTGTTGTAGTCATATGGTAGTGATGAGGTCCGTTATAGGGGCTGGGGTAACTAAACTAAAATCCTTTGATTAAGTGTGTTCACGGACACTTCTCACGACCCATGCAGTACCCTTACCTAGAAGATATGCATAACCTTGAGCTGCAAGTGTACATTTTACAGCCCCATGCTAACAACCCACGGCGGCAGCAGCAGCAACAACAACAACAACAACGGAAGATGAACATGACCGGATCAGATTGCACAAGCCTTACTCTGGTCTACCAGCTGTAGAAGCATTCGAGGACAGCTCAATGTAGGCGCACGAGGCGCCCAAGGTACAGCAGGTTGGCAGCATGTCGTCCACTTCGGAGCGGCGAAGCTTGAAGGCCCCACGGTGAATTTTCAATAAGGAACTTAACAGTCAGAATGGAGTGTTGAAGTATACTTGAGTTGTTTCTGTGGTAGACTTCCGAAAGATAGCTAAGTAGGCCCTGTCTTAGCATTAGAGTTGTGGACCCGGCTTTCTGACAAGGGCCCAAGCAACATTGCCTGCTCTTTCTACTGGGTCGACTTAGCACGGCTTATGTTATTTTGCGGTCAAAGACGTTCAAGGGCTCCACAGAGACAAGTAAGAGCTCCATGCTGGAGTTTAGATAGCACTCATCGAGGTGCATTACAGGCATAAAGATGGGGAATGCCACCACAACAGTGATGAAGCGAGTGGAAAATAAAACGGAAACTGCAACTAGGATTATGCAGGTAGCATGAGGCCACTACGTGCTCTCGATAGCCCTTCCAGAAAGCATGAAATCTTACATCGGAAAATGCAACTAGCCAATACAGTAGCCTCAAAATGCCATCCTTTGAGCCGTGACTCAGTTTTTTGCTTGGTACCCCAATAATATAGGGAGTTTAGGGGCCTATAATGGAGAATCAAATGGAAAAGAAAATGGAAAATGAAATGGAAACTGGGATTGTATATTGCATAATCTTGACATGACTCATTTTCCCAGCACTTGGCTGGTGAAGTGTCGCCTTCGAATTTTCCCCCAATTAATATCAACCCCCCAATGTTACGGGGTGGGGAGTGGGGGGCACTCACTATCCAGGGGGGAGTGGATTAAGAAACGCCAGCCTTTGGATGTGGAAGGGCATTGCCAACACCAAGACGTTCATCGGACCCTACCCGATCGGGGGCTGCTTGACTACAGCTGGTTGAATCTGGGAGCTTTTCGCATACATCCAATGTCCTGTTCACAGCTTGTTGGGCGTAGTGTAGATGGGCGACCTGATTTAGAGCAATGCACTGTGTGCCTTCTGCATGGCTTGGGGATGACATTCTTACCTTGCCTTTGAAAGTTTAGGTGAGCGTCGCAAGAGGTTCACCAGCATGTTGAAGAATAGAACTGAGGCACCATCGGCAAGGGCGGTTTCGGCTGTGCCGCGCGGATTTATCCGGCAGTTGTTAGGAGGAAGCTGGTGTTTGATTGGGCTGGGATTAAGGGTTTTTCAAGTACGGATGCGGCAAATACAGAGAAGATGATTTTTTTTGACCACAGGCTGTTAAAGCGGGATTTGACGGTCCCGCCGTTGAAGTTGTGGCCCTCATGCTTGCCTGTCTTGTTTCAGATGATTCACAGAGCACTTTTTTTGAGGTATACAAGGCCATGGACCAGCAGAGAGCGTTGCTGGGCTGCATATAGCCACAACCATCCTTTTCGCCCATCTTACCGCCTCTTCCTCCAAAAGTGCAAACATGACGGGCAGAGGTTGAATTATGCTGCATGTAGCCTTCTGCGGCATGTCTCGAGGGTCCTAGCTAGCGGCCATCACCTTCTCTGCCCCACAAATTGACACAGCCAGGTTGTTCGTGGCCATTAAGCAAGTCAGCTTGGGTGGGCTGCACAGTGGCGATATCAGCTCCATCGAGGCAGGTGTTGATCGCAAACTTCATGGAGGCTGAAGCGGCTTCAGGATAGATATACAATAAATTCCGAGTTTAGATTATAGTTTTGTATACAACACTATGATATACTATACTATGGGTTTTCATGCTCGTGCTGAGACCAGAGCCAAGCTTGCCAGGTTCTAAGTTGTAGCTACTTGTCATCATTACTCTTACTCTCACTGTTATTATGGCAACCCTCACTGCATGAAGCCGTGGAGGTTGAGATCAACCTGCTCTCCAAGCTGAAGCACAAGAATATTGTCAAGTATATTGAGTCCATACGAACTGAGACACACCTCAACATCGTCCTTGAGTATGTGGAGGGTGGGTCTATAGCCTCCATCATCAAGAAGTTTGGTGCTTTTCCAGAGTCTCTGTGCGCGATCTACACGCTGCAAATCCTCAGAGGCTTGAAATTCTTGCATTCTCAAGGCGTCATTCATCGGGACATTAAAGGTGCTAATGTTCTGACGACCAAGACAGGAACGATCAAGTTGGCGGACTTCGGCGTAGCTACAAAGCTTAGCGAGATCGACAGCTCGAAGAGGCGTGTGGTAGGTACACCATACTGGATGGCGCCGGAGACTGTTGAGATGAGCCCGCCCACTCCGGCAAGTGACATTTGGAGCGTGGGCTCCACTGTGGTGGAGATGATCACAGAGAAGCCGCCATATGCAGACTTGCCGCAGATGTCAGCTCTCTACCGTATCGTCTCCGACAAGCACCCGCCCCTGCCCGAGGGATTCTCCGAAGATCTCGAAGCATTTCTGCTTCGCTGCTACGAGAAGAACCCATTGCACCGTGCTGGAGCTGCAATTCTTCTCGAGGACCACTGGATCCAAGCCAACAAACAGCACACGCGGGAGTTCATAAACTCCCGACAGATGCTCACCCCCAAGGTTTCCCAGAAAGAAGTCACTCCACGGCAGGGAGAGGATGAGGATGATGACTACAGCAGCGAGTCTGGAGCCGAGGAGATGGAGGCATTCACCACCCTCATCCGGGACACTTATTTGAGGCCAGTAGAGGCTTCACGGGAACCCAGCAGCGGGCACGATTCTGAGGAGGTCCGAACTGGGGACAAGAGTATTAGCGACAAATCCTCGCGATCCAAGCAGGGACCAGGGAAGTATCCCATCGAGGAGGAGGACTGGGTTGCTGTTAAGGAACTTAAATTAAGTTACTATATTGGGGAAACCCTATTATTTACTTTACCCATTATGGTAACTTAATTTNNNNCCTTAACAGCAACCCAGAGGAGGCCAGTGCCAATCTCACTGACCAGTATCCCTCGCGCAAGCTCCTGGAGACACTCCCTGAGGGCGAGGGCCTCCCCGAAGCCTACAAAGGCGAGGTGCAGGAGGCGGCTTCCTGGGTTGCTGTTAAGGAACTTAAATTAAGTTACTATAATGGGTATATATAGTAAATAATAGGGTTTCCCCAATATAGTAACTTAATTTAAGTTCCTTAACAGCAACCCAGCTTCAAGAAAA